AAACAAGAATTGCTAAAATACAAAATACAGTTTTTTTTTATCGTGTCTGTTATTCTAGACACCAAATAAATACTTATAGTTTTTATTTTGGATATGAATCAAATCATAAGAGAATTATTGAAATTTACAACCCCTAACTTGTTTGTTGATGTGATTTGTTGAAGATGCAATATATCTATATGGCTCGGACTATCTTGTACTCATCTTTTACGAAACAATTTATGATTTTAGTGTTTATATATTTTTAAATGAAAATATTATACGAAATAAAATGAAGAAACAAGTTATATTGATATTCTTTTAGAAAAATATATCAAGGTATATACTTTAATTTAATAGAAAGGTGGATTAATTTTTGCTTTATATTTTCAGTATGCTGACATATTTTATATTTTTCAGATTGATAGTTGATATGTTGTCGATTATCATAGTAATTGTTTCATAACTTTTTGCTGTAATTTTTTTGACCAAGTTTACCATTCACATTGCTTAACATGCACAAAGAGAAACAATTATGTATTCTGCTTCGCATGACGACAATGTCACTACTGGCTCCTTTCTCAAACTCCAAGCAACTGATGCACTACTTAGCATAAACACATAGACAGCTATGAGTTTTCTATCCACAACATCACTACACCAACTTGAGTCGGTGTATCCCACTAACTTGCATTTTTTTCTTCACCAACGGCAGGAAACAAAATGCTGTAGTCGAGAGTTCCTTTGAGATACCTCAGTATCCTCTTCGTCGCTACTAAGTGTGATACCTTTGACTTCTGCATGAATCTACTTACCATACCCACACTATATGCTAAGTCAGGCCTTGTGTGGCAAAGATATCGAAGTGACCCAATAAGTCTTCTATATTAGATTGGATTGACATCATCTTCATCTGAATCTTTCGACAGTTGCATTCTGGGTTCAGTTGGAGTCGAAGTTGGGTTGTAATCTTGTATCTCAAATCTCGTGAGTATTTCACCTGCATATCTTCTTTAGTGCATCATCAAACCTCTATCACATTTGTAGAATTTGATGCCAAGGAAATACGAGAGATCTCCCAAGTCTGACATTTCAAACTCCTCACTTAGGTCATGTTTGAAATCTTCGACCTCCTTCTTGCAACTTTCTGTTATTAATAGGTCATCGACATAAATACATAGTATAAGCAATTCACTATTGCTTCTCCTTACATATACTCCATGCCCCGTCGTGCACTTCACGAATTCCTTCTCCTTTAGAAAGTTATCGATCTTCTTATTCCAAGCTCTTGGTGCTTGCTTAAGTCCATACAGGACTTTATGCAACCTATACGTCTTTCTTTCTTCGCCTTGTTTCACCAACTCAGCTGGTTGTGCAACATAAACTTCTTCATCTAAGGAGCCATTCAGGAATGCACATTTCATATCCATCTGACATGTGTGCCAATTTTTCATGTTTGCTAGACCAACAACCAACCTAATTGTTTCCATCCTAGCAACATTGCAAAAACTTTGTCGAAGTCGATTCCTTCTTTCTGAAGAAATTCTTTCGCCACAAGTCTCGCCTTGTGTCAAGTTATTTCTTCTTTAGGATTCACCTTCACCTTGTAAACTCATTTCATATTAATTGCCTTTTGCCTTGGGGCAATTCGAAAAGTGACCAAGTGTTGTTTACTTCGATGGGCTCTAACTCCTCATTCATTGCTTTCACCCACTTTGAATCTTTCAATGCCCCAACAGCATTGACTGGTTCAACATCTGCATAGAAAGCATATTTTACCAACTCACCTTCTTCATCGACCATATCATCTGATGTAATCACACATTCTTGCAACCTTGTTGGCATGTGTCTTTTTTGTTGAGATCTGCTTCACCTCTGACTTCTTCTTGTCGAACTTTTCTTTCGACTTCACTAGCTGGTTCTTCACATAAGATTCTCACTGAATTATTCTTAATATTCTCAGTCCAATCTCATTCCTTAAATGATCACATCGCTGATGATCACTACTTGCTTGTTCACTGGGTCGAACAACTTGTATCCTCCAGTCGAATGATATTCTATTAGGATTATTTGACTCGACTTGTCAACAATTTTTCTTCTCAACTGATCTGAGATATGTTTGTGTGTTATAGATCCAAACACCTTCAAATCACTAAGGTTAGGCTTGACACCAGACCAACATTCTTCTGGCGTGATTCCTTCTAGCTTTTTTGTCGGTAATCTATTCAAGATGTATGTTGTTGTCGACATAGCTTCTCCCCATAATTCTTTGGGTAGATGCTTGCCTTTCAACATGTTTCTCACCATGTTCATGATGCTTCCATTCTTCCTTTCTACAATTCCATTCTGCTGTGGAGTGTAGGGTGACACCACCTCATGCACAATCCCTTCTTTCTCACATAATGCATCAAAATCTTTCGACACATACTTTCCACCACCATCAGTCCTCATAATCTTTAGCTTTCAACCACTTTGTCTTTTGACTATAGATTTGAATTTGGCAAGAATTTCCTTCTACTTGGTTCCTGCATCCTTGATGAAGCTATTCTTGTGTTATTTCACCTGAACACATTCTTCACACACTTCGCTTGGAATGTTGGTTTCTGGTAATCCTAAAACCATATTTATTCTCTTCAACTCTCTAATGTCTTTGAAGTTGATATGGCCAAGTCGATAATGTCATATTCATTCATCTCTACTGACTGCAGTTGCATGACACTTATGCTCTATCATATTAAGTTCAATCTTGAAGGTTCTATTCTAAGACATTGGAGCCTTCAAGATTAACCTACCACCTGAGTCAAAAAGTCTCATCATCTTGTCTTTGACCGACACCTTGTAGTTCTTTTCGATTAACTGCCCTGTGCTGAGCAAATTACTCTTCATGTCTGGTATGTACAATACATTAGAAATTACTGACCTCTTGTCATCTTTTCTCATAATCATAACATCACCAATACCTTCAGCTGTTAGAGTATTGTCATTTGCAAATTTCACTATTTTCTTCATTGAGGGATTTATGTTGACAAACTAATCTTTCCTACCAGTCATGTGTGATGAGCATCCTGAGTTCAAGTACCATTGGTCCTGAAATCTTTCTTCATCTCTTGTTGTGACCATCAGCAACATCTCTTCTTCTTCATGTTTCACCAACTTTGCATTAGTTTCTCGATTCTTCTTCTTTTCTAGACACTCACTAAAATAGTGACCATACTTCTGACTACTGTTACATTGGATGTGACTTTTGTCAGGTTTTTGACCCCCACCTCTTCCTCTACCTGCAACACCACCTCTTGGGTTGCCTTGGTTCCAGGATTTTCTCTGATTTGGCCAATTTCCTTCCTGTTGATTTCGACCAGTCGAATTGTTGTAGCCTCATTTGCCTTTATTGTCATTCTAACTTCCTTTGCTTTTCTTTTCTTTTTCTGACTGCGCCTGCAAAGCCATATCACTCTTCGACTTTCCTACAGCTCTTTCATTCATCCTTTGTTCATGAAACTCAAGCGTCCCTTAAAGTTCTTCCTTCGTCAATGCTGACAAGTATTTCGACTCTTCTATGGCTACTACCACGTGGTCGAACTTTGGAGCCAATGACCTCAAGATCTTTGTAACAACTTATCTTAATATCAATACTTCTCCATATACCTTGATTTGATTCACCAGTTTAGTAACCCTAGTGAAGAAATCAGTTATGCTTTCACTTTCTTCCATCTGAAGCAATTCATACATCCTTTTGTGAGTTTGTAACCTCACCCCTTTCACCTTCTCTGCGTCTCCAAACGATTTCTCCAAGATTTCTCATGTTTCTTTTGCTGATTCTATATCACTATCCTTTTCAAAGTTATCTGGATCAACACATTGATAGATTATAAAGAGAGCTTTATAATCTTTCTTCTTCAATTCTTTGTATGCATCCTTTTCTTGATCTGTCGTGTTTTCTGCAAGCGGTACTACTCCTCCCTTCATAATACCCCAAAGATCTTGATAACAGAAAACCACCTTTATCTTCTTGCACCAATTGTCATGATTTTTGTTCTTGAGAATTGGAAGGTTCGTCGAGAAATGCCCGTTTGGATGATTCAACGCCATCGTAATTTTCTTCCTTTGAATTACAATCGGAGCTCTAGATACCAGATGTTGGAATTAACCCAAAACCTTTTGAGAATTCCTAATCAATCATGATCTCAAGAAAGATTATGCGCAACAACTGTTAATGAAAAATGAGAAACAAAGAAAGAGTTTGACAAAATTAAAGGAAGAAGATAATGAATTTTCAACTGCGGAACTCTACCCACAAACTGCGGAAACCTTCTTGATTCACTTTGCAACTGCAAAAACTATGAAAATTCAAGTTATTACAAAAATAGGGGTTACTCCCTCTATTTATAGATAAGAAAGGCCAAAAACACAAAAACCCAAAATTACTAATTTTTGTCTTAAGTCGAAATCTTGTGTCAAGCAACCTGCTTCAGGAAATTTTACCCCATACCCCTACACTTATACCCACAGTCCTACACTAAAAAATATTGGACCAAAATACCCTTGTTTAAATAGTTATAATTTGAAATTTTTTTCACTTTCACTTCATTTGCGTTTCAACTCTTCCGGAGGACTCGTTTTTCACTTGCAAACCGGAACTCTTCCAACAAATCATCTAGAACACATTTGTTAACCAACATATACCAGAACTCCAAGAGTGAGTCTTCCGGTTTGTAGTTTGTTTTGGTTTCTTCACCGGAAGACTTACTACATGTCTTCCGGTTTGTAGTTTGTTTTGGTTTCTTCACCGGAAGACTTAATGCATGTCTTCCGGTTCAAAATATTTTACGTTTGTTCACCGAAAGTCTTTGCTCAAGACTTCCGGTTCATGTTTTTTTTTTAATTTTTAATTTTTAATTATATTTATTTATTTATTTATTTTTTAATTTTTAATTATATATTTTTTAATTTTTTCAGTGGTGCGCACACGAGGCATAGATGGTAGGATCCTTCGTGGACTAGGACGGGGCGAGTCATCGAAAATGACTGAAGAAGAGCATTTTGATGCATCTGCATCAGCATCCGAGCCTGTTGGATATCCAGGAGGACCGTATGATACATCGCTGTTAGTTAAGTACGAACATCATGTTGCTAGACATATATGGTTCGGTGAGGTAAGTAAACGAAAATTATTTAATATTGAATAGAATTCGAATTTTTAATATTGAATTTTATAATATATTTACTTTTAATTGTTTTCAGGAGAGAGGGTCGAAGAAAGAGTTAAAGGTAGCGGGACACGGTCTGAAGTTGATTCAGAGGGTTCCACTACAGCTACCCAGAGAGATGGAGGGCTGGATATCTAGGTCTATTCTAGCTTCACTCTAGAGAACCAGTTTAACAAAGATAGACACGAACCTAGTTTCCTCCTTTGCAGAGAGATGACATCTAGAGACGTCTTCATTTCACATGCCGTTTGGTGAGATGACGATTACTCTAGATGACGTATCTTGCCTGCTTCACTTGCCCATCAGAAGAGTTTTCTGGAGCCCTCGAGATATCAGTGAAGCGCTTGCTATTGAGTGGGATGTTGATTATTTAGGAGTGTCACGGAGAGTAGCACAACAACAAGTTCGTGAGTGCAGGGATTCCTACTATAAGTTGGAGTGGTTATATGATCTATTTGTAGAGCACAGAGCTGCATCTCGATGGGATTATGTCAGTAGAGCTTATTTGCTGATGTTAGTGGGTTCCACTATTTTTGCGGACAAGACGTTTACGCTTGTCGAGGCACGATACCTCTCATTATTTATAGACTTGGATGGCTTACCAGGATACAGTTGGGGAGCAGCTACATTGGTTACTCTTTATAGATATCTCGGAGATGCTTCCATGTTCAGTTGTAAGCAGCTTGGTGGTTATCCGACTCTCCTACAGGTATTTATTTTAATTTAGTATATTTTGTTTTAATTAATTTTATCTAGTATGTTAATTTTATTTATCTAGTTTATTATGGTATAATTAATTATTTTAAATTTAGTAACCATATTAATTTTGTAACAGTGTTGGATTCTTGAGTATTTTCCAACACTTGGGAAAAGAGGAGAGAACTGGATACCAGCTAATAATGTGGGTCTCCCTCGAGCGATGAGATGGTCCTATAGGCAAGGTGCCTTGAAGGTGGATGACTTGCGGCCTATTCTGGACAAGCTGACCCCTGGCGATGTCATATGGCGCCCATTCGAGAATCATAGAGTATGGCGTCAGTTTGATGAGTTATGTCTCTATAGGGGGTGTCTGAAGTGGGGTGACACTATTGTTCCATACTTGCCTGACAGATGTATGCGTCAGTTTGGATACCGGCAGTATGTTCCACATCCACCTCTTGATTCTCGAATGGCTGGTGATATTGATGTTGATTGGATTAGTTACCATCAGAGAGTTTAGGATGTGATTCGTCCGACAACACCGGCCACCACCCCATATGAGACAGATGATGGGTATCTTGAGTGGTATTATCGTGTTTCGCATCCTCGTCTGGTACTCCCCAGTGTTGGTGCGACAACAGAGATGCCAGTTCCTATATATGAAGCAGGACCATTTGATCCTATATTGGCTCGTATGTCTGCATTGATTCATCATTATCTTCAACAGGCTGGTGCTGAAGAGGATGACCTACAGTTTGCTGATTTGTTCGAAGCTTTACATCTTGGTCGATCACAGTGACTTATATTTATATTTATGGTTATATGTTAACTTTTAGACTCATTTGACCTAATTGGTTTATGTTCATGTGTTAACTTTTAGACTCATTTGACCTAGTAGGTTTATGTTTATGTGTTAACTTGTAGCCTGAAATAAAAAAATGAATAACATAATTCACGATTCATGTTTTGAAATTAAAAATGAGTAACATAATTCACGATTCATGTTTTGAAATTAAAAATGAGTAACATAATTCACGATTCATGTTTTGAAATTAAAAATGAGTAACATAATTCACGATTCATGTTTTGAAATTAAAAATGAGTAACATAATTCACAATTCATATTTTTTTCTATCATACTCTTCTGCTTGTATATTTGCGTGATTCGAGTGACATTATCCGGATCTTGCTCTTGCAATGAAAGCAATATATGTCTAGGTGGAACCTTTCTCTTTGTCAAATTAACAACATGTTGCTTCTGATCCGCTGTCAACCTACCAACAAATGTGTGACCTTCTAATCTATTAGGTAAATCATGGTTATGAACTCCACATTTTACATCAATCTTCCATCCAGATCCATCAGTCGCTGGAATTGATCTGATTCTAAATGGACGTCGATATTTTTTCGCTGCACTCTGGGTTCCACTATCAATATCTTTGTGTTTTCCTCCTCTATCACATCTAAATATTAATTTGTTACTTCTTCCTCTCTTGCCTGTTTCAATATCTGAACGAGTGATGATAACCGTAACTTTATTTCGGATTCCGATCTCTTTAATCCATCGTATTACCTCTTCTCGTGTACCAAATCTTTGAGTAGTTGAAAAAACATCAGACGTATCTACGCATATCTGATCTTTATCGCATATTTGTAAAGGAACTTCTGAACGTGCATAGAAAAAGAATTTTAAAAAAATTCAAAAATAATTTAAAAAAAATGGACAATGCAAACCGGAAGACTCGGAGAAAGAGTTCCGGTAGGCAAAAAACACAAACCGAAAGACTTGCAAAAGGTGTTCCGGTACACTTTTTACAAGTACCGGAACTCTTTTTACAAGTCTTCCGGTGAACACCCACGAAAATTCTCAAACCGGAAGTCTTTCATAAAGTCTTCCGGTACATAATTTGTGTGAACCGGAACTCTTTGCCAAAGTCTTCCGGTTTGAGAAAAAAAGCGTACCGGAAGTCATTTTGATAGTGTTCCAATAGGTCGTGTGGTGAATTTTTCGAAAGTCTAAAAAATCGGATACGGTAAAAAGTGAAAAAATAAAATAAAATATAAAAATATATAAGGATAAAATGAGTATTTTTTTTTTAAAATTGTAAGGGTATGGGTATAAGTGTAGGGGTATAGGGTAAAATCTTCTCCACTTCGATATTTAAGCAACTCGAGACACACACACATATTAAATTAATTCGGCTAATCCTTGTTTATGTCGAACTACACTACTTCGACACAAGAGCTTACAAACACTATATATATATATATATATATATATATATATATATATATATATATATATATATATATATATATATATATATATATATATATATATATATATATATATATATATATATATATATATATATATATATATATATATATATATATATATATATATATATATATATATATATATATATATATATATATATATATATATATATATATATATATATATATATATAAAGTCAATGAAACATACACAAATTTAACTTCTTTTTTTCTAAAAGTCTTTTTAAAAAAAATCCTGTATATGCCCTTCACTTAAGGCTGCTACATATTGCTCAACTGGTTGCTTTTAACATTAGAAAACATGCCTTTCATCTATCTTATAGTTTCCATATTGAAAGACGAACTAAAATTCTACTATTTTCAATGAGTGATAGACAAAACTAAAATAAATGTGACCTTTTGGAAAACTTCCCTCCTCTAAATTTCAAGTATAATTCAATTAATTAGAAGTGTTATCCAAAGCATGCTTATTCATACTATCACAATATATTCTTGGCTTTTTAGTCTCTACAAAGATTTAGAAAAATGGATGATAAACTTTAATTGGAATAGATACATAAACAACCAAAAGTGAATGACAGTTTCATGGCACAAGATTTATTCTCCCTTTGTGAAAGATGGTCTTGTCCTAAGATCTTTGTCAGAGTCCTTAGTGAATATTCAAATATTATATCATATTGGAAGCTTTTTTAAGTCACACTTATTTAGTTTACATATTGGTTAGTTTCCAATATTAGATAAGGAGATTTCATGTCTCTTTCCAAATCACTCTGAATTATCAATATTTTTTAGTTTCTTTAAAAATTTATCTATTCCTAGGTATTTCATCTCTTTATAGAAATTATATATTTTTGGAAAAGTTTTGTTTCTTCAAAGAAATTTTCCCCCTTTTGATTTTAAATTGTAGATTTTTGGAAAAGAAATGTTTCTTCGAAGAAAGTTTTGTTCATCTGATACAGTTGTATCTGAGCTGATTTATTTTAGAAAATTGTGGTTGATAGTGTGTTTGCATATTTTTGGATAATACCATGACACTTCTTAAAGAGAGTGAACTAATTCGTTACTCATCCAATAATTTTTTTAGTGGCTGAAAACGTCTTTCTTTTAACAGTTTTTAAAATAATATTATTCTAACAATTTCAAGATATTTTCCTTTTGTCATATCTACCGAAGAAATAATTGGTTATAGTTATTTTGTTCCTAACTACAAAATTTCATTTAGGTTTGATGAGAATCACTTCAAAAGATAGTGTTTTTTAAACATTAAAAATATTTTTAATGTTTTGAAAGATGAGATCCATGTAGTACGAATGAACAACCAGAGAATGATAAAAGGATAAAGAATTACTTCTCTAGAATGAAATGACTACCTGTGTAAGAATTTTATTCTCAATGGCCTAGCTAATGATTTATATTACAAAAAATTTAAGTCTGCAAACGAAGTTTGACCAACTCTGAACAAGAAGAAAGACACAAAAGAAACTGACAATAAAATCTAAGTTGTGGCCTCTACCTTAAATACTTAATGAGTGATGACAAATTAGTGGAGGCTCAAATCCACGAGATCTAGAAAATTGCTCATGATATCTGTTGATCAAGCAACTTCAAACATAAGAAGGGATGAATTGTGTTATTTAGTTTTTGCAAAAAATTTCGTAAATGGTTAATTATAGGTTGATTGATTTTAAGAAGGGAGTAGAACCTAAGATTAAGCAACGAAAAAAGAAAATTTAAAGAGATAGAGTTAGAGATATCACACCGCGATTTATATTGGTTAGGCCTTAAACCATGCGACCTACTCCAATCCTCAATATTTCTCCCCCTTGAGATTTCCACTATCATCAACTTGAGCTTTTATATAAGATTGTTGAGTTTGACTCATATGTAATGTCAAGGGCCCTTGTATTTGACCCAACTGTTTGTTAGGGGTATTATTCTAATATGGATCATTAGTATCCTTATATATATATATATATATATATATATATATATATATATATATATATATATATATATATATATATATATATATATATATATATATATATATATATATATATATATATATATATATATATATATATATATATATATATATATATATATATACACACACACACACACACATATACTTGTAACACTTAAACCCTAATAGTGTGT